GGTTTCTGTGTGAGATGACCTGTTGTGGTTGTTCCGGTCTGCGCTGCATCAGTCACTCCGTCCAGCAGCTGTCTCATTTTTCCCTGTTGAAGGCTGTGGGGATTTCTGCAGCGTGCTGGGAAACCTTCTGCAGGTTGAACAATAAAGTTCAGCTACGAAAGAGACAAGGCGCCAAAGTCCAGTCCACTTACAGGACTTGACAGCAGAAAAGCCTCCGGTTTATGGCGAGGGGTCATGAATTAATAATCACCTTGTTGGTTTGTAGGGATTATTGTTTTATTTATTCTTTTGTTTTTGTTTTTTTGTGGTTTCTTGCGATTTAAAAACAAACAAACACTACAAATCTATCCAAAGTAGCTTGATGTAAATGGAGACACGAGGTCCAATTATCAGAAGATGAGGCCACTCAGATTTTGCCACCTCTGGAAAAAATATTGCAACAATAAAATTACTTTCTTATCCAGCAATGTTCAGTCAGGTCATCTGGATGTTTCCTCAGACTGATGAAGCCTTCTGGATGGAAGGCGAAACATCTCGGCACAAAAAAAAAGAAACCATCCAGATGACCTGACTGAACATTGCTGGATTTTATAACTGGATTATTGAGCATGGACTTTGGTGATTTGGTTTCTTACCTTGATTTATTTAATTTTGTCCCCTGTTTTTGACAGTGTCCTTGTAAACACCCTGCACCGTGTTCCATATAAGACAAAAGACATAAATGATGTGTGTTGTCATTACTTCTCTGCATTTAACCCATCACACGTGAGGTACACCCGGGTGGAGCAGTGGGGATTAGGTGTCTTGCTCAAGGACACCACGACATGTGGGCATGGCAGGGAGTTGATCCTGTGACTTTCTGGTCCCAAGTCAGCTGTCCTACCTATACTGTCTCTGCCCCTCCCATCCATCATTAACCGCTTCTTCCTTTTCGGGTCGCGGGGGTCACTGGTGTCCATGTCTAGCCATCACTGTGCGAGAGGTGGGGGACACACTGGTGGTCTCCAGTTCATCACAGGGACACACTGGACACGTCTACAGTCCATCACAGGGACACATAGAGACAAACGAGACAAACAACACACCTATTCAGAGTTATCAATCAGACTAACGTGCATGTTTTTGGTCTGTGGGAGGAAACCGGAGTACCTGGAGAAAACCCACGCAGCACTGAGAGAACATGCAAACTCCACCCAGAAAGGCCCCCTGCCGGGATTTGAACCGGCGACCTTCTCCCTGAGAAGCAACAACTCTACCAACTGAGCCACCGCCCGCACCGTGTTCCATCCAAGCAAAATGTTTGTCATTGGTCTTATAGTGTCCGAACTACCATCATAGACTGTATACAATAAAATGAATCTTAAACCAAAACTTTTACAATTTTTAGTTCATTCTACATTTTTTTTGGTCATTTGTTCCACCAACCCTGACAAGTAAAAATTAGATTCGGTGGTTAGATGTTCGTCACGGTGCCGGTGCTGGTGTTAGGGCGTGTTGTTGTGAAGAAACGGCAATGGATCTGATTTATGAAGTCCTAATTGGCCGTGACGAGTGAGACTTCACAGAGTAAAGCCTCTGCAGCTTTCCAACCTCCTTCACCTTAACACACTTTCTTCCTCGCTCACACTTCAGCAGGAAGCAGCTGATCTAGAAAACCGGTTCGGAGCAGCTTTCCTGTGCTTTGGCACAAACAGCCACTTGTTGCACCTCTCTGGTGCTAATTGAGCAGCTGTGAAAATATAATCGCTGTTCTTATTCTCTTAATTGGGAGTCTGAGAGGATGATTTTTACAGTAATCCACACAGATGTTGTGTTTTTATGAGCTTTACAGCTGAGATTTAAGTTTTATTTTACTTCTCTTGCTGTAGCAGGTCTTTTATTTGATAGTTTGGTTAAAAATGCAATCACACATTTCAGAATGATTTCTTTCTTCTCTTAATTTTTGTACAATTGGAGGGAGAGAAGTCATCCTTCCTTGTGGGTGTTGATGTTAATTACAGTCAAGGAGCTGCTTATTGAAATAATGAGCTGTAGATGAAGAGAGCAAAGGACAAGGGGTTAAGATCATCCACCAGTTTCTTAACAGCAACAGCCGCCTCAAAATTTGGAAGCAACGTGTCTGTAGGAAGAAATAAATTTGAGCTGAATTCTTATTTCAAAACCTAAAAAGACCAGATGGCTGCAGATGATTAATTTTGTTCTCTCAAGAAGAGCTTTGAGGGGGAGATGTCGACCGGAGTGGAGTCGGAGGACGAACTGGTGAGGACAGTACCGTGACTGAGAGGTTAATGTCAGCGAATGGGAGGTTCCTTTTGTTTAACATTCCCTTTGTTTAATGGCGGATGTGTTTAATGGGATTGGCTGTGACGGAACCCTAATGGGGTCTCCAAGGCTGATCCCGGTGTCTCTGGTAGTTCTTCCAGGCTGCTCCGTCCCAAAGCCAGGTCTCCCACTGGGCAATCACCTCAACGGCCCTTTTTCTGATTGAAGCTGACATTTTAATGTCTGTGGCAGGAGCGTGGTCAGCCCTGCTTAACCTGACCCCCTGCTACACCGCCCCTCCCCCACCACCAGCACCCTCGGTTCTCAATTTGCCCTCCCAGAGCTGTACGAATCAGGGTCATTTCACTCTTTATGGGCTCGTTAGGAGGAGTTGTGAGACAACTCCTTGAGTTTTGCACTTAACTCTCTCAGCTAGTGACAAAGTAAAGTTCAGACACACGGGGTCCATGTGGATTTATTTTCTTGGACTGCTCAAGTTTAACTATTTGACCCATGTTTTTATTCCCCTTTTGTATTAGCTGATCTTTTCCTTTATGAAATGGAGTAGTTTAAAAGTGGTTTGCAGGGACTCTTATGTAAGACCTTGCTCCCACGGACAGAAAGAAACAGACGTGGTGTTTCGGTAACATCAGTGTTGTTTGCATTCAAAAGATTAGCCATCTCATTTGGTGTGGAAGCAAGTGAAACACTTGGTCTTCACAGAAACTGAAAAGACTGGCACTCGTTTGACAACAGCTGCAGCCTTTGTTTTACATTTCCACCAAGCGAACACCGAAGCACAGCTATATGGGAATACGCTCGGAAATGACTAATAGTCATTCTGATGCCATCGTTGTGCCCGGTGGTGGTTTTTACGTCTCAAAATCTGGAAGTTGAAAGAAGGATTGTTGTCATATGCAAAACAGCTTTGGGAGGCACTGAAATCTGTGCAGGTTTGAGAGCAGCTTGTCTCATCGTGATGTTCTTTTCTTGTCACAGACCTGTAGTAGAAACTAGAATGCAGTAAACAGAAATACAATATAAAGAAAAAGATACAAATTAAATGCAAAACAAAAAACTGGTATTGAGGATCTTACTAAAATAAAGAACTGGAAAAGGTGTTACAAACATCTTCATAAATTATTAACACATTAAAAAAAAAAAAACTTACAGAGGGTTAAACAGAGACTATTGATCAAGATTCAAAACTGTTCAATTTTTCCTTGTTCCCTCGACTCTGGAGCTCTTATTTGATGACATTTTGAAAAACTGGCATATGAATTATTTTGTCTTTTTATGCTTTGGTTTTGAATGAGAATAATTTAGGAAGTCACATTAGATTGGATCTGCCATTGAAAATATTTTGCATTACCGTATTTTCTGCTGTACACGTCGCACCGCCTTATAAGTCACATCAGTCCAAATATTTCTAATAAAGTGGAAAAATCCATAAATATGGCGCTTCGCCGTATTAGTCGCATCTATTATGTATCACCGTCATGTTTGTTACGCGTCACCGCTGCCAAACCGGAAATGTGGGCCGCTGTTGTGCCAAAAATCGATTGGCTGACAAAGGGCAGCCGTGGGAGTGTGCACGGGAGGACTTTAACAAAAATTTAACAAGATTAACACTTAAAAGCAATTGTATTGTTATAATAAAGGTGTGTCAGTCTAACTTTTCCTTAACTAACTTTGACTGTCAAATCAGCTGCGTTTCAAAAGCTGATACGTGGAAATAGGCATGTGCATTTCTTCAAACTTTAACAAGATAACCACCTAAAAACAATTATTTGTTTGCGCGACTTTATACCAAAGGTGTGTCTCAGTTGAACTTTTACTTAATAAATGCACTTCAATGGTCAAATCAGCTGAATTTCACAGGGGCGGCGCAGCAAAATGAAGCTGATTTGACGGTTGATCCAGGCAAGCTGAACGAAGGTGGCAGAGTATGGCAAGCTGACTGTGTCATTAATTCATTAATAGCCACTTTTACCTATTACATGACACAATGGCATGCCTTTATACTCGAGTGCCATCTAGCGGCTAAAAATGGTAGTGTTCAATATTTTCAGTCATAATGAATGAAAACGGTCATATCTCAGACAAAAATAGTTTTAAAATATGGAAAAAATCCATTAATATGTTGCTTAGGCATACAAGTTGCAGGGCATGCAAATTCTGCATAAAAACGTGACTTATAGGCCAAAAAATACGGTACTTAAATTCAACAGCTACAGGTCTGCCAGTATGCTGTTTGTGGTGGGACTCAGTTTGTTGATGGCTCCTCAGATTGAAGAAGACCTTCTGATGAAGGACAAACTGTCTCAGCAAAATAAAAAATAAAAATAAAAAGAAGAAGAAGAAAAAAGAGACTGTCCAGATGACCTGACTGAACATTGTTGGATTTTATACCTGGATTATTGAGCATGAACTTTGGAGCAATAATTAATGTAACAAAACATGTGTTCATGTGAAATGTAAGTCAGCACTCTTTGTTGTGTGGAAAAACAAGTGAAAATGACGTTTTTATAAGCAAAAACAAATGCAAATATAATTTTCATCATCCCATTTTCATTAAATGCACTAAGATCACATTTAAGAAAGACCTTCCAAAGGTTTTTATCTTCCGTCGTATTGACTGACCTGCTCCCAGGCTGCCAAGTTCTCTGAGTGTCCTAACAAGTCTTCTTTCCTCTTTCCATCCCTCTGCTTATGTTTGTCTGTGTGAACATATCCAGCTTTGTCCAGCCACTTGGAACGGCACCAGTCAGATTCCCCTGTCCCTCCCAAAAGGCCCTCTTCGCAGTCTGAGACTTCTGAGAGCCCGCTCTCATCGAAGCGTCCGAGGACAGCTGAGAAGGCTGCAGAGCAGGTGAGCATCCTAACAGCGATGCCCTGTGATGTTTATAATCTTTGCTTTTCTTTAAGTTATAGACTTATTGCTGAAGGATATCCCTTCCCCAACTACCAGTACCTAAATATGAGTCCTGCACTTGAACATCGATTAAGAATAAAATTATGCTAATAATTTCCAGCAGTTGCGTTGATAAGTTGTCTTCCCAATTCTCTTCATGTGGTGCAGATATTATTTTTAAATCTACTTTAAATGAGCTTTCTTTCTTCTTGGTAGCACTTCTAATTGTGTGTAAGACAGAAAATCAATATGGTATTTGACAGATGAGACCACTTTGAAGTCAGTGCCAGACCTCGGTGAAGCATTTTTACACATGTGTCTATGATCACAGAGATCTGCTGCTTTAAAAGAGGGGCCTCGCTTTCCCTCCTGATCATCAGCTTCTTCTTTTTTTTTTTTTGTTCAGGCAGGCCCACCATGCTCAAAGCACATATTTCACCCTATTAACCCTGTATTCCCTCACCTTACTCTATTTATTTGTTCATGTTTCTGCCAACATTCAGATGTACCAGTGCCCCTACTGCAAGTTCACCAACACGGACTTGAATCGCCTCAGAATGCACGTGATGACGCAGCACTCTGTTCAGCCCATGCTGCGCTGCCCGTTATGCCAGGACATGCTCAACAACAAGATCCACCTGCAGTTCCACCTCACGCACCTCCACAGTGTCGCACCTGACTGCGTCGACAAGCTAATTGCCACCGTAAGTCCTGTTTGCGTTTTGTAAGTGATTGGAAACAGAAGGAACGGAAAATGTTTGCCAGACTGAATAACTGACAGCAACCTTAAGTTGGTCCCAGATTGGTATTATGATTGTAATTCCTGGGGACAAAAGAGGCATTTGAACGCACGTAAAAATGATTGTTTGGTCTGAACTAGTCTTAATTTTATACATACATACATGCATATTAACTCAGGCTTATTATGATGCTCCTAACATTAATTAATACAAATGATAGACGTAAAAATATGCATGCGTCAGAGTTTTGGGCCAGTACTATTCAGTGAATGAAATACATTCAGTCAGAACACTATATTATAAAGATGTTTAAACCATTTCGTATTTTAAAATTTATTGCTTTAAATCTCTGTAATCTTGTGTCTGATTAGAAGAGAACATTGGGAAGCAATCAGTTTAAATGTAATGCACATAAAATTAAACAAACATAAATTTAAAGACAAAACGCTGAAGGAGAAAGTATTGCCAAATCTTTTAGCTTCTATGAGTGCATGTGTGCAGATCGTGGCACACAAACACAACTCAATAAAAAGCGACTATTGTTAGAGCATGAGCTGATGCGGGCCCCAAGCTAATGCAGCTAGTGGTTGCTAGCTGTGGGCCTCAGGCCTCCTCTTGGACCCCAGGTCCACCTTCAGCCCACGCTGCCCCCAGCTTGGACCTCCCTCAGAAGCAGCAACTCACACTATCCGTAAATCAAGGAAGCGTGAATTAAAGAAGGTTTACAGCACTGGCCTCCGATACAATTCGACACAAGATCAGGGACCAGAAGGGCCGGATGTCACATGGCATTACAAATATATAGGTCCTAGACTCCTCCTTCGCAGAAGGGGGGCACAGCCTATCACGTGGATAAGGGGGGTCGGACGACGCTCTGTGTGATCTCAAGGATCGTATGTGGTTTAACGCGAGAGGGAAAATGATACTGGTGCAAAAAAAGCCTTTCTACGTGAATGCAGCGAGCCACATTCCTTGACGGATATTGAATCCCTGGGAGACTCTTTTTAGAGTTGCTGGCTCCGTTTAAACCAGTCAGAACTGGGTCATAATTTCATTATAATCCCGTCTCTGAGTAGATCACTAACCCAGGGTCAGTCTAGATAAAAATACTAACACTATCAAACTTGAACCAAAACATTGTGGGACTATGAACTTCCATACATCCATCATTCATCTTTACCCACTTCTTCCTTTTCAAGTTGCTGGGGTCACTGATGCCCATGTCCAGGAGTCACTGTGCGAAAGGCAGGGACACCCTGGACAGGTTGCAAGTCCATCACAGGGACACATGGAGACAAATGAGACAAAGAACCGTCCACTCTCTCACCTAGGGACAATTTAGAGTTACCAGTCAGTCTAACATGCATGATTTTGGTCTGTGGGAGGAAACCGGAGTACCTGGAGAAAACCCACGCAGCACAGAGAGAACATGCAAACTCCACCCAGTAAGGCCCCTGGCCGGGATTTGAACCAGCAACCTGCTTGCAGAGAGGCGGCCCCTCTACTTACTGCACCACCGTTCTGCCCAACTATGAACTTTGTTCAGAAATTCAAATGTAGAACCATGAACTCAAACAAGTTTGTTTACACGTGAAAAATAGTTTTGTAATTTGTGAACTTTCACAAGTCTTGATCAAAATGTATTAGCTTAATTGCGGCTAACCAATACTAGCAAAAAGATGCATTAGTTAAGCCTGAAAATGTAGTGGTTTATAAAAAGATAAATGGACAGCAATATTGTTTGCTTTGCAAGCTACAGTATATTGCATAAACACACTTGTATAATTTTGAATCCATTGCTATATTTACAAAATCCTCTGGCTTGGGGAGTTAGTTCTAAAGTAATTTGTATTTTGCACTGGAAGAAGCAATAAAAAAAACAGCCTGTCGAAGCTGTGTTTTGTATCAATGCAGCATTGCCACTAAGACACAGTACAACTAATCATATTGCAAGCTTTGGGTCAGGTCAGGGACCAGTGCAAGGATTCAGCAACGACAAGGCGATGAATAACCGGCTCGTAATGAATCTCTCATCCTGCACTTGCTGTTCATCTGTGAGAACAATTGTCCCTCATGCATTCACTGCTCTAAATTGCCAACATTTAGCCCTTTTTTTAAAACACAAAGAATACTGTTAATTGTGAAATGACTGCAGGCAAACCCATTTGCTTATTTGAAATGATTAGACCTTTTAAGATTCTGATTTTTCCTTCTCTCTTTTTATTGACTTTATGCTCATCTTCAGCTTGCCTTTTGAACCTCTCCTCTAATTACAGTCATTTGAAGAGGTGAATTCATAATTCAGTTTTAGTCCTTTTTGTTCAATGATATGAAGATGAGCAGGTTTCGTAGCTCCAGGTTCATTTATTACTCTCCTGACATTAGAGCATTGTCTCTGATTATCTGTGTGTTGGTCAAAACAAATCATTTTCTCATGAGTTCTACAATAGTTGTGACACAGATTATTCATTAGTTAATTAGTAGTTGCACAACTTCATGAAATTGGACGGACAGATGTAAAGACGTTCTATTATTTAATAGTAGCGAACAAGCGGCAATGTGCAGCACTGACCTAAAAGTAAAGAAATGCTAAATTTTTAGTGTTTTTATGTTAAACTATCAGCGACTCTGAAGTAAGGCTTAAAAACATCTGATGCGCAACGCTGATGAGCCCTTTTCTGTTTTCTATTCATATATTTTAACCGAGGAATAAAACTCTTTGCTTCCTTTAATATCCGTCTAAGACAAATAAAATTTGTTTTCAAGATTTATTTATTTTTTAAGCCAGTGAAAATCTTTTTTTCTTCAATCCTGTGAAACTAAAAAGCTTGCCGGACTATCACGGTATGAAACAGGACTCTGTTTGCTGCCTGACCATCGTTGTCCCCCATCTAGAAAGTAAATGTCAAGCACATTAGTAAAGTTGAGGGCAATATTTATTTATTTTATAGAAGTTGTAATGTATCAAACTGCAACAAGAAGAGATAGAACAGACGTAATATAACATACATTACAAAACAAAGTTAAATCGTCATGTGGACAGATTCTTCTTGGAAAAAATGTTTCATCTTTCATCCGAAAGTCTTCGTCAGGCTGAGGCCTGCCACCAAGATCGTCTTATAAATAGCACCTCATTGATGTGTTTCAAACCAGCCTGCTGTGGAATTCCCAGAAACTGGATTCATACATGCAAAAAGGGACCACCAGTCTAAACAATCAATCATCAGTGCATAACAATCAAACGTTATAGGCAAAATGGCCACTTACTACTCACCAAACCAGCCTGAGGACAACCTGGTCAAAATGGTTAAAAAAAATAAATACATTAAATTAAAAAAAACAAAAAAACATACATACACAAAATACCATACATTCAAGCCAGCACTTTTTTTTATATCAGGTGAAAAAAGATGAAAATGTTCTTTTTCTTTTTATACGTCTACACAGTAGATATAAAATTAAATCTAATAATAAGGTGACTTGTTTCTTGCAAATGCATGTGATGATGTGTTCAGTCATCGATTTCTCTTTATTTTGCAGACACTGCACTACAACTTTCCTTTCAGTTTTGCCCCATGTCTATCTTTCATTTCTGTTAACTAAATATATATGCAACTCCTCAAGTTTACCTTATTTCATTCCTTGTCTTAGTTTTTTGTCTGAGTAAGAAAGCGTTAATGAAAATAATGGTGCTTCATTAATTCAGAGTCTGGCTGGATGACACTCATTTGAACTATATTTGCCAATTAGGCAGTCTGAATTAAAAGTGACCTTGGGATATTCCAGTCTTTTCTGTAATTACCTAATGAAGTGGTTGTCTGGAAGCAATCCACTTTGTAATGTAAATCACTATATTGTTTGCCTATTTGTTTGAATTTCTATGCTTAGTGAATGTGAGTTATAGGATACATAAAAATAAAAAAAATGGCTTGATTGGCTTTTATTTTAAATATTTAATATAAATCACAGGACATGCTGGAACTGATATTATTAGATCCCCATTCTTTTTTCAGTGATATGAAAAAGAAGATGCATCCTCTTGCTATTTTATCAGATAAGATGTTTGAAAATATGTCAAATCTAAGCTCAAGTGCATAAAACACAGCAGATTTAACCATGTAATCATAAAATCTAAGCCAAAATGTGTGAAAAGTTAGTGGGTTTTTTTAATTAACGTCTCTGTTTTCCTAGAATTTAAGACATAAGACCGGTGCTACTGATGAAATGCATTGGATTAATTGATTATAATCAGTGTGACCACCTCTATCAATGCAAATGTATTACAGTTTACTACTCTGGAGCATACAAGCATGTAACACAATAACAGACAAGGCCTGAAATTTTAATTTGATCAAAGCTTATTTGGTAACAGTTTCATTATTTTGTGTTTAAAGGTGACAGCTACTGAGGTATTACCAGCGAGCATGTTCATACCTGTGCCCAGTTCGGACAGAGAGTCCCAGAGTACGCCACAAGCTCCAGCCAACTTAATCTCTGAGGATACAAAGAAACAAGCTGGTTAGTATTGGAGAATAAGAAATACTACCTTTCTTTGTACTTGCAGTAGTTTTCCCGATGTGATCTATATTGAGTACATCATCATGTTAAAATTTGATTTTTATTACTACTTACAAACAGATTATTAAATGAAGAGTTATTAGTATAGATTGGTAAATATAATAAATGTTGAGCATTGTTGTTGTTTTTTTTTTCTATTTGGCATATTAACAAAACATTTAAATACTTGACTCTCACAACAAGTCATATAAAATAGTGGTTTTCACAGGCCTTCTAATTAACCCCTGTCCAGTTGTTTTTTGCTCACTTTCAGAACAATAATTACTCAAAATATTATCTTAACATTAAGACAACAAATTAGCTGGGCAAATGTTGTGATCTTAATAAATAGCCCTTTTTACTGATTTGTTTACAGATGCATCAGAAGCTGATCCTGAAAAAATGGTCTCCCTTCCCACGGACATAGCTGAAGCTCGTAAGTCACCGTTGGAAGATCAGCAGTTAGAAAGGGAGGATGCTACTGGATTTGTGTGCTGGAAGAAAGGCTGTAATCAAGTGTTCAAATCTTCCAACTCCCTACAAATGCACTTCAATGAAGTCCACAACAAAAGGCCCCAGTTACCTGTTTCAGATCGCCATGTCTACAAGTACCGATGCAACCAGTGCAGCCTGGCCTTTAAAACTGTGGAGAAATTACAGCTTCATTCACAGTATCATGTGATCAGGGCAGCCACCATGTGCTGCCTTTGCCAGAGGAATTTCAGAACGTTACAAGCTTTGAAAAAACATTTGGAAACCAGCCACTTGGAATTGAGTGAAGCTGACATCCAGCAACTGTATGGGGGATTATTGATGAATGGCGATATCATGGCAATGGGTGATCTAACTCTTGGTGAGGATCCTGGAAGTCTTGGAGAAGATGAAAAAGAGGGGGATGACAGTGATCAGGAGGACAAACAAAGTCCAACAGGCAGTGACTCTGGCTCACTGCAAGAGGATTCTGGGTCTGAACCAAAACGTGCATTGCCATTCAGAAAGGGCCCCAACTTTACAATGGAAAAGTTTTTGGATCCGTCTCGTCCTTTCAAGTGCACTGTTTGCAAAGAGTCTTTCACACAAAAGAACATTCTTTTGGTTCACTATAACTCTGTTTCCCACTTGCACAAGGTAAAGAGAGCTCTCCAGGAGTCTGCTACTGGTCAACCTGAGCCTACCAGCAGCCCTGATAACAAGCCCTTCAAGTGCAGTACTTGTAATGTGGCATACAGTCAGAGTTCTACTCTGGAAATCCACATGCGCTCTGTTCTACACCAGACAAAAGCTAGAGCAGCCAAACTTGAAGCAGCTGGGGGTATCACTAACTCTGCCAGTTCCCATGGTTTAATTAGTGGAGCATCCAGTATGGGCACTTCATCATCAAGTCCAAGCCCTGCTGGTAACTCAACTACTAGCTCAAATAACCACAGTTCATCTGGGTCTCAGGCACCTCAGAGTATTCATGGTGGAAACCATACGAACCAGACCCACAGCATTGAAAGCTTGGGAAATTCTTCAATAAGCTGCCGTTCCTCACCATCTGAGAATCACGAGACAAAAAAGTCTAAATTTACAGAGATTCTTTCTGCCAGGGGACAGCAACAACAGCTTCAGCAACAACAACAATTGGCTCAGGCTCAAGCTCAAGCTCAAGCCCAGCTTCAGCAAGAGCTTCAGCAACAAGCTGCCATTTTACAATCACAGCTATTTAATCCTGCACTTCTGCAGCACTTCCCAATGACAACTGATGCACTTCTACCCCTGCAACAGCAGCAGTTGTTGTTCCCATTCTACATCCCTGGAGCAGAATTTCAATTGAACCCAGAAATTAACATCAGCAACTCTGTACTTGGCCTAGCTGGATCAGCAGCCTCTTCCCTGTCAGAAGAACTGAAAAACTCAGTTCAGCAGGCCCAGCAAAGTTGCTTGCAACAGCAACTGATGCACCATCACCTTCAGCAGCAGCACCACCAACAGCAGCAGCAGCAGCAGCAACAACAACAACAACAACAACATCAACAGCAGCATAAACAGCAACAGTCTCACTCACAAGTTCAAGGCCAAATGGCACTACTGCAGCAGACTGCATCTCTTCTCCAGCAGGCTGAGAAAAAGCAGAAACTTTCCTCCTCTCAGAATGACAAGGATAAAGAAACTCAAAAAGAGAAGGATGTCTCTGGCAAAAATGAGGACTATGTGAATAAAGAATCTACAGAAACCAAACCAAAAGAAAAGAAGGACATTCAGCAAATTTCATTAAATATTAATCATGACTCTGGCTTTCCTCCACCAAGGATTGCTTCAGATGCTCGAGGAAATGCAACTAAAGCCTTGCTAGAAAACTTTGGATTTGAATTAGTTATTCAGTACAATGAAAATAAACAGAAAGTTCAAAAAAGGACAGGAGGAACTACTGCATCAAGTGGTCCAGGTGGAATAATAAGAGTGGTGGACCCCATTGAAGGATTAGAGAAACTGGAATGTGAAGCTTGTGGCAAGCTGTTTTCAAATGTGCTGATTCTAAAAAGTCACCAAGAACACATCCACCAGGCTTTTTTTCCATTTCGATCTCTTGAGAGATTTGCCAAGGAATACAGAGAAAATTACGATAAGCTCTATCCACTTAGACCTCCAACACCAGAGGCTGTTCCAGCTCCACCACCCCCACCTCCGCCACCTCCTCCACCTCCACCACCTCAACGAGCTGCCACACCAAATATTCCAGTCTCTGCTGCCTCACTCACACCTCCAACTGTACCTCCCCCTCAGCCACCGGTTCCAATGACACAAATATCTATGCCAATGGATTTGCCCCTCTTCTCACCTCTTATGATGCAGCCAATGTCTCTACAGTCCTTGCCTACTCAGTTGCCTCCCCAGTTATCATCTGTTGAGCCAAGCCTGGCATCAGACCTGGCTCAACTCTATCAACAGCAGCTTACACCAGCCATGTTACAGCAGCAGCAGAACAAGAGGCCACGAACACGCATCACCGATGACCAGCTTAGGGTTCTGCGACAGTATTTTGATATCAATAATTCACCAAATGAGGAACAGATAAAAGAAATGGCTGACAAGTCTGGGCTGCCACAAAAAGTGATAAAGCACTGGTTTAGAAATACCCTCTTTAAAGAACGCCAGCGCAATAAAGACTCACCTTACAACTTTAATAATCCTCCAACGACAACTCTAGAGGATACAAAAGTTGATTCCAAACCTCCTTCCCCTGAACCTCTGAAACATGAGTTTTATGGAAGTAAAAGATCATCCAGAACAAGGTTTACGGACTACCAGTTGAGAGTCCTGCAGGACTTCTTTGATGCAAATGCTTATCCTAAAGATGATGAATTTGAACAACTTTCCAACCTTTTGAGCCTTCCTACTCGTGTTATTGTGGTCTGGTTCCAAAATGCTCGACAGAAAGCAAGGAAGAATTATGAAAACCAAGGCGATGGAGGAAAAGAGGGTGAAAGACGAGAACTGTCAAATGACAGATATATTCGCACATCAAATCTGAACTACCAGTGCAAAAAATGCAATTTGGTTTTCCAGCGGATATTTGATCTGATAAAACATCAAAAGAAGCTGTGTTACAAAGATGAAGATGAGGATGGACAGTATGACAGCCAAAATGAGGATTCATTAGATCTGTCCCATGATAGTTATACCCCCTCTGGGTCTTCTTGTCATACACCAATGCCCTCTTCCTCAAGTCTTTGCCCTCTTCCTCCTTCAACTTCAGCATTTGCACACGTCCCATCTACTGAGAAAGAGGAAGCATCACCAGCAAACCCCTCAAACCTCTATGATGAGAAGCCTAAGCAGTTACCAGAGATTTCTCCCGATCCACAAGAAAACCAAACTTCTATTAAGCAAGAGACTGTGCACCAACCCCAGTCTGAGCCAACACATCAAAGATCTCAAAGAGAAGAGAAGATCCAAAGTATTTCCAAGTCTGTCAAGCATTCATCTCCTTCCTTCTCTCAGCAACAGCAATTGTGTGGCCCTTCAGCTTGTCAAACAAGCCAGGCCTCATCACAAAGCTCACACATGGGTATCAATCCACACTTTTCCTCTGCCACACAACAACTGGCACAGCAGATGATCCCATACCAGTGTGAGCAGTGCAAAATTGGCTTTCCCTCCTTTGAGCACTGGCAGGAACACCAGCAGTTGCACTTCCTCTCTGTGCAAAATCAGTTCATCCATCCTCAGTTCCTTGACCGTCCAATTGATATGCCTTTTATGCTGTTTGATCCAAGCAATCCTCTCCTGGCAAGCCAGCTTCTCTCTGGGGCAATGCCTCAGATTCCGAGCACCTCTGCCACCTCTCCATCCACCCCAACCTCCACCATGAACTCCCTAAAAAGAAAGCTTGAGGAAAAAGCTAATACTAGCCCAGGAGAGAATGACAGTGCTAATAGTGGAGAGGAGCCACAGAGGGACAAGCGACTCAGAACCACCATTACACCTGAGCAGCTAGAGATTCTTTATCAAAAGTATCTCCTAGATTCAAATCCCACTCGTAAAATGCTTGACCACATTGCCCATGAGGTGGGTTTGAAAAAAAGAGTCGTACAAGTGTGGTTCCAGAATACTAGAGCTAGAGAGAGAAAAGGTCAGTTCAGAGCGGTAGGGCCAGCCCAAGCTCATCGTAGGTGCCCATTTTGTCGAGCTCTTTTTAAAGCAAAAACTGCTCTTGAGGCACACATTAGGTCTCGTCACTGGCATGAAGCCAAACGCGCTGGATACAATTTAACTCTCACTGGCATGTTACCTGACCAGGAGAGCATGCAAATAAAAATGGATACTTTGGACACATCAATCTATTCCCAAATAGCTCCCACTACAAACATTGATGTACAAAGTTCCTCCATGTCTCCAGTGAACAAAAGCATGGATCTGTCTCCCAGAGTTCTACTGAGTCCTTCATCCATTAAAGTTGAAGGAATGGAAGACTTTGAGGGCACAACAATGTCATCTGTAAACTTAAGCTTTGATCAAAACAAACTGGATAATGATGACTGTTCTTCTGTGAATACAGCTATCACAGACATAACTACAGGTGATGAGGCCATTGCCGATAATGACAGTGCTGATGTAAAGAACATCCAAAATAGTGGTGATTATCTCTCCAAGTCTGGAAGCACAGGCACTATTCTTGAAAACGATGACCAGATGTCCTCTGGGTTAGTAAGCCCTGCAACAAGCTATTATGCTAAGGACTTTGAAAATGAACATATGATTGACCACAGTGAGACGTCCAGCCTGGCTGACCCTTGCTCACCAAGTCCTGGAGCTTCAGGTACAAGGAGCATTGATAGTGGAGACAGGCCCGGCCAAAAGCGCTTCCGAACCCAGATGACTAACCTCCAGCTGAAAGTGTTAAAATCTTGCTTTAATGACTACAGGACACCCACAATGCTGGAATGTGAGGTGCTTGGCAATGACATTGGACTTCCAAAGAGAGTGGTTCAGGTGTGGTTTCAAAATGCCCGAGCCAAGGAGAAAAAGGCTAAACTCAACATGGCTAAGCACTTTGGAATAAATCAGACGTCTTACGAAGGGCCAAAGACTGAATGCACATTGTGTGGTGTCAAATACAGTGCCCGCCTTTCTGTTCGTGATCATATATTCTCCCAGCAGCACATCTCTAAGGTGAAGGATACCATTGGCAGCCAGATTGATAAGGAAAAGGAATATTTTGACCCAGCAACTGTTCGCCAACTCATGGCTCAGCAAGAGATGGACCGCATTAAGAAGGCAAATGAAGTTTTAGGTCTGGCACAGCAGCAGGCCATGCAGCAGCAGGGATTATTTGATAATCCCGCAATGCAGGCTCTCAATCTCCAGTCAGCCTATACAAACTTGCAAGGCATCCCACCTGTCCTTTTGCCAGGGGTTGGCAGCCCCTCTCTTTCCAGCTTTAACTCGTCTAATTCAGGTATGTCATCATTTAGCAATTATATTTGCAGATATAGAGCTGAAATTTAAAATGCACCATTGTAAATTGTTTTCAACAGATCACTTTTGAATTCTTTGTTTTTACATAACATGCTGTCATCATATTTTGTAAAATGCTGAACTCAAGAACACTCCAACACTAAAATGCAGTTCTGATAACTTTTTTTAATGTTTCCAGAGTGTCATAAGCTTATTACAATGCAAATAGTGATGATTATGTGTGAACTGTGTAAAAATATACTTTCATGGGTAACTTTGAAAAAGAAAAATTGTCTATTGATCCAATTATAAATAACTCACACAAGCCTGTCTTTATTTGATTTTTGTATTTTTCAGCTTTAACTCCCCCTAAACCTTCAAACCTCCTGAACATGTCTGGTGCCAGTGTTCCCTCACCAAGCCTTCCCACTTCTGGATTGCCAAACAAGCCTCCCTCCTCATCATCTCTTGCCACATCCAGCTCCGCCCAGACCAACACATCTGCTTCCCACTCAAGCTCTACTCCCACATCCACCTCCACCTCCTCATCTATCCAGTCTGGCTTGCGACCTGAACCCTCCAAAGAACGTGATGCTGAGAGGACAAGAGATAAAGAAAAAGTTAAGGAAAAGACAGAGAAGCCCTCAACCCCATCGTCAACTGGAAGCACCCCTGCTCCTTCCACATCTGCTGCCAGCGCCAAGAAGGAGAAACCAGACACAGCTGTCCCTGCCACTTCTATGCCTACACCTGGGATGGAGTATGTGGTAGACCCTGCCCAGCTTCAAGCTCTCCAGGCTGCTTTAGCATCAGACCCCACTGCTCTTCTTACAAACCAGTTCCTACCTTATTTCATGCCTGGCTTTTCCCCTTATTACACTCCACAGATACCTGGGGCCCTTCAAGGGGGTTACCTACAGCCAATGTATGGCATGGAAAGTCTCTTTCCTTACAACCCAGCTCTGTCACAAGCACTGATGGGCCTGTCTCCTGGGTCCCTATTGCAGCATTACCAGCAGTATCAGCAGAGTTTGCAGGAAGCATTACAACAGCAGCAGCGACAACTTCAGCAGATCCAGCAACCCAAGGCAAGCCAAACTCCAGTACCCTCTCAAACCATGGGGGATCGCAAAGATTCTGCCAAAGATTCTGTTAAAACAGAGGATCAAAAGGGCACCCCCCACAACGAGACCCCCACTTCCTCCTCCTCCCATAACAAAGCATCATGTGAGCAGAACGAGAAAGATAGCAAAGCTGTGGATCACCCTCCTGACCAATACATTGTACCAAAAGTGCAGAGTAAACTGGCATGTCGCAAGTGTCAAGCTGTTTTCACCAAGGAAGAAGCAGCTATCACCCACCTTAAATCAAACTGTTTTTTTGGTCAATCTGTGGCAAACCTACATGAGATGTTGCTGCGTGTCCCCAGTGGCATAGGTGTAGGGGCTGGAAGTCTCTATGACTGCCTGGCTTGTGACACTATGTTGGATGGGGAGAAAGCACTTAGTCAACACCTGCAGTCGGCATTGCACAAACACAGAACAATCAAGCGATCAGTCAGAAATGCCAAAGAGCACGCTACTAGTTTATTACCTCACTCTTCAGCCTGCTTCCCCAGTCCTAACACCGCATCTACCTCGCAGTCTGCCACTCATCCCATCAGCAGCCCCCCTCTTCAGGCAACAACATCAGCCACCATGCCATCCTCTGCTGTCTCCTCATCCATGTGCTCCTCCTCTTCTAAGGCCCTACTCAACACCACAGCTGCCAGCAAATCCTGGCCACAAGTCCCCTACTCCAGAGCTTTAGCTGGGAAGCCCAATGGTAGCCCCTCCTCTTCTTTTCCTCCAGTGTCCTCACCTTCAACGGTTACCTCAAGTTCATTGAGCACCTCAGGAGTTCAGACCTTGATACCAACAGACATCTTTACTGATGAGTCTGACTCTGACAGCAGTCAGAAGTCAGCAGACAGGCAGGGCAGGACGGCAGAGGAGCCGCAGAAGCCCAGTTTTGTCAAAGACAGTAATAGTTGTAGTAACCTGGCTAGTGTAGGAATAGACTCCAACAGATTGTAAGAGAGCTTTCAGTGATGGACAATATTTAAAAAAAAAAATCTAAGAAAATGACAAAAAAAAAAATTTCAAATACAAAAAGTAAAAAAAAAAGCAGCAATGTTTAAAAAAAAATACATGAAAAGTATACAAACCAATTTCAGAAAAATATGTGTAAAAACTAACTGCAATTCCAAAGCTTGTAACCAAAAATTTAAATGTTAGTGGATTGTTTTCCCATATCAACATGCTGGTCTTCATTTCTTTGATTTCGTTTTGTTTTTGTTTAAATAAAATACATGCGTACTACTATGTGAAGACGGAAAGACGCTTGCTTTGGGTAATGGTGGAGGAACGCTGTACTGTATGGCAAATGGACTGCCTCAAAGTTGACAAATGTCCCCAAAACCTTTTTTCAAGAAATGCAAGTTAACAAGCTAATGTTTTCTACTTAAAAGCACAGTCACAAAACACCAGTATGTACTGTATGGGAGAATAGTCTATCAGTTTTCTTGCTATTTAAGCATTCAAATACCAATGGCTTGGAAAAGTAAAAGAATAATGTCTATTTTATTCTCAGGTCAACAATTCAAATGTGTTTTTCTGTTACAGAAATTCATGTTTTACACCTTTTTTTTTTAAACTATTAATTAGCTTTTATTATTTTAGCAACAAAAAGTTTAATTTAATCAAGACATTGCTACTGGGCATTTGAAACGGTAAAAGATTTGTTGTTCTTAATATTAAAAATTGTTTTAAAGCGAGGAAATTAATCCCAATGAATTACCAGACAAGATCATTACACAAAAGTGGGAGATTTAAAAAGAGCAAAAAAATGATTTTGATATGGAAAAAAACTGTAACCTTCTGTATTTATAATTATTATGAGCATTTTTGATGTTATGTGGATTGTTGCATTGGAAATGAATTTAAACAAATGGTAGGTTGGAAGAAAAAAAAACTTTGTGTACATTTAACTTTTGTATTGTCCAATTTTATGACACTTCATTTGATGTTGACTTGGTCATTCCAATAGGCTAGAATATGGACAGGTAATTTATCTGAACATTACTTCTGTCTTGTTCTAACGGTATGTGAAACGTTCACTCAAATGCCCCTCTTGACAAGGCAGGATCCTCTTTCAAAATTATTTAAATTTTAAGATTTGGTTGTTAAAGCCAAAACAAAATGATCCTGGGTGAATTATTGAGAGTTTTATTTTTTATTTAATTCTTGTGTTACTTTTGTGCACTTATCACTGTCTGACGTCATTTTGTCACTCGTCTTGTTCCTCTGTCAGCACTTATTTTCTCTTCTATCCACCGTTTGTAGATGCGTATACTACAAAGCAGGTCTTTTGTTCTTCATGCAGAGTGACTACAGTCTTCATTTTTATTTTGACACGTTTTGTCGTAAATGAAAAGGAAAAAAGAATACTACTAATAATTCTCACGCTTTAAGAAAAAAAGAAAATCCAAAGACTAAACACTTTCACCATTGGTGCATAAAGATAAGAAAAGAGGCTTCTTTATACTTGAGAATTTGTTGCTGTTTCTGAGGAAAGAACACAAAGTTTTAGAAGATAAAGGAGTACGTATCAGAGTTGCCATCTTTGCTTGGTTGCAAGCGGACGGGTAGCTTTATTACGTAGATACCAAAAACCAAAAAAGGGCCCTTGTCCTTGCATTGTGGAGTAGCACCGTTACAGAGCCATTGCAGTTTGTAAGATAGAGGTTATTAATCTTTCTTTGACTTTTGTCACATTTAAATGTCCTTTTTTTTTTTAAAGAAAATTATAAGGTCTGGACTTCAAGGACAAATGTTTTGCTGCTAATGTAGATTTTTGAAAAAAGAAAAACGAAAACCTAGATGCATGCTCATTTTGCTTTTTGGCTAAGCTTTAACTTAAACAAACAATAAACCGATTTCTTGCCTCTGCAACACTTTTTCTTTTTTTTTTGTTGTTGTTTTTTTTGTGTTTTGTTTTTTTCTTGTTGCAACAACGGAACTTTGAAGACTGTGAATATATGTTCCAAAGGACATTTTGCCGAGTTTTTCTTTCTTCTTATTGAACAGACCAATGTTTAAAGCCAATGATCTTTAAGGTTTGTAAAGAACGGTGCATTCCAAATATCACTATGGATTTTTTTTTTTTTTAAGCAAGGACTGATCCTATGTCATTTATTTGATTTTAATTTTCACAATCTATTTTTCCTCATTTTTAAAATGACTGTAAACTGTTGTGTAAATTTTTTGCATCATGGGTTGCTGAAAAAACCCCCAGTGACCTTTGTGTTATTTTGTGCTGGCATGGAACATTGCTGAAAACCCCTCCAACCAATCAAGGTTGTTGCTTACTTGTTAAGCAAGTAACAGTGGTTACCAAAAAATGTATATAATACATCTGGTACTGACGTGTCCTATAGGTTTGTTTTTACGTATGCCAGTCGACCTACAACTAGTCTCAGAGGGAATCAATGGCTTTTTGCTGAGGTGTTGTTGCCCCCCTTTTCTGGGCGGTCCACCGGTGACTCGTCACGTGTTTGTGCAGGGTGCCACTTCCACACATAGATTACAGGTTAGAGACATCTTCATTCCAAAGCATTATTTCTGGAAAAACTAGGAGCATTTTTGAAGATGTCTCTTGATTTTTTCTATTTATTTAAACAGTTCGGATGCTTTCATATCCAAAGAAGTCATCCTCTTCATTTTGCTGCAATGGAAATGGATGTGCATGGCTGCCCCCACCTTCTCACTGATGATGTGATGAACCAAAACTTTGTCTTTCAATTTATGAGGAAAAAATACAGCTTTTGGCCACAATTGTATCGACAATATATTTGCCTTAATGAATCCAAGGCACAATCTCAGAAGAGTTAAAATTGCTACTTCTAGCAAAGAAATGTGATTTTTAAGTTAAAACCACACAATGCTGTTAAAATCAGCAGGTCTACAAACTTCATATTTCTCGAGTCCAATTCCTTGGAAAATTGTATCTTTATTGTTAAGTTGTACAGTTTTTGTTCCCAACTACAAAATGTTTTTTGCATTCTGTTTAAGCGTCATTTCCTTTTGAAGTAAATTTAGTTCCAACATGACTTTTTATCATAAATTGACACTAGCTTTATTCTGAATTTCAGAAATTGAGATGTAAACAAACTGATACAAAGTATACGACCTGGCCACCATATGGTGTGGCACTGTTCTTGAAATTCATTGTCTCAATGATATTGCTTATTTGATTCCCAAAGTGTAATCATTTCAGCTCTTTAGTGGACAGCAGAGTTGACGTCTCCACATTAAATGAAGCCAGTATGGACTGTTTTGGTTTGTGCGTGCATGAGTGCATGTGTGTGTGTGTGTTTTAAAAGAGCCAGCATCAATTCAGATTTTTTTTTTTCTTGTTTGCCTTTTTGTTCTTGTTACACACCAAATAGAAAAACAGAACCACAACGCTGGATTATGAGTAAATTACATTTAGAAAAATGAAACTTGCAGATTACAACTGAAGCACTGAGCAGTTTTTATTGTAATTGAAGATAATAAATGTGGCCAAAGCTTTATGCCGTTAAAACAAAAAGGAACAAATTTGTGCCCCTAACAAGTGTATATTTTATTGTGACTTTCATTGGGATACTTGGTTTGAACGGACATTTACAAAAGAAAGGCAAAGGCAGCATATTGCTGTAAAGGTCATCTTTTGCCCACTGTGAAAACAAACGTGTATACAGATATAGATATATTTAAACGAGACATCAACATTTGTTCTTTTAATTATTTTATTGTATTGTCTTTGACATGAAGAACGAATGAAAATGATTTTTTTTAAAAGGACTCTGGGAAGTTTTGGAGGACGTGAGAGGCTGTGGGCACACCAAAACTGGGCATGAGAGCCAAAAGCAGGCTCAAAAACAGCTTTAAAAACCACCTCCTCATTTGATTACTGACAGCTCTGTAATGGAACGGACTCTGGAACCAGTGGACATGTGTGACACACCGAGGGAAGTCGTTAGATGAAACTGAACTTAAGTGGCTCCAGCTGCCTCTTTTCTCCTTTTCTGTCTGTCCTTCCTTTCTCCAGCTCTGCGTCCACTCCTGCTCGTTGATAGACGTTTTTTCTAGATTTCAGGACAGGATGGACAGAGACGCTCGCTTCATTTCTTCCTCTTCGTGTTGCTACCCGTTTCATTTCTTCGTGCTTGTCTCTGCTTGACAAGTAAAGCTCTCCAGTCAAATGTTGACGCACCCCTCTCTGTGTTAGTTACATCATATGAATAGGGAAATTAATAACAGAGAGAGGGGATGGGTTCTCAAAGCTGTCGTTCTTAGGGAGGCAGCCACAGACATTAAAAAAAAAAAAAAAAAAAAAAGCGTTTTAACCAAAATTACCAACCAAACTAACAACCAAACAACCATTTGCTCCAGCTTCAAAGATGAACTGTTACTTGGAGCACTCTGTTCCTTTTGTGACTTCTGGTGCCACAATATTTTTTATGCTTTCCGTTTTGTTTGTTTGTTTGTTTTGTTTTCTTTCCTTGAATTACTCCTCCTTCGAGCCTCATAAGCATGGCTCTGTGGCTCCAGGAAGCCCATTTGAGGGTAGAAAAAAACAGCCTTGCAATGTACAAAAAAGAGCAAGATAAACCAAAAATGTTGTTCTTGATGTCTTTTCTATACTGTAGTCTTGTTAGATTTTTTTCTTTTTTGTTACTGTAATTATATGAAGATTTCCGAACTGTACCAAATGACATGGAAACTAACATACATACAACCACATGGAACTTCAGACTTTTAAAGAAACTTTTGTCACAAAAACCTTGTTGTCCTAGTTAAGTTGATTGTAGATGGTAATTGAATATACTCCTTTGAAAATATTTCATCAAGTATGTTTCTTGCTCATTGTGATACATTAAAAAAAGTATGAGCATAACAATCTGGTTCAGACTCATTTTTAAGTGTTGAAGAATTGATTATTTGCTTCACGTGCACTTGTGTTCTGCAGATGTTGGATGTCTAATTCTTCCGTTTTCATTTTGCAGACTTAAAATGTTTTCTTGCATATTATAGACATCCTCCCGTTCTAAAAAGTT